GTAAACGTATAGCAGATTGCACCAAAATATTTTTTTATTCAAGATTTGGGAACATTTGGAAAAATCTAGCAATCAAGGTAAGCAAAAGAAAATGTTGGAAGAATATTTAAATTTCATCAGACAGCACAATTTAGTAATGAGAGAGCTCCAAATTATAATTGCAGAGTAGCCGCAAAGTCATTTGACGAGATAACGGTCAGAGTGCTACCAAACCGAGCATCTCCTTTGGGCGACAATAACACTGAAAATGTGCATAAATCCTGGAAGCATGATTAATGCATTGGAATACAGGCTTCATGGACCAAATGAAGCCCTTTCTCATCTCCTTTTACAGTAATACCTACACTTGATAGAGTACCTTATCACACAAGCGAGAAATCTTAAAGTGCTTCACAGGATATACTGTAAACTTCATGTGGCTTCAGCTGGCAGGTGCACAGATGACTTTGAACTAATTTGCTGCATTAAGTGAATTTGTCACTGAGGCAATCACAGCACTTTCAAATCCTCCTTTTTTTTGACCTTCTGCTGACAATTACTAAACATAAGTAATAAATCAGTTAAGTACTTAACATTCCAGGAATGAGGAGGTCCTTGGCCATTGCAAACATAACACCACTATTTAAGAAGGGTGGGAGAGAAAAGATGGCGAACTATAGACCAGTTAGTCTATAGTAGGGAAAATTCTTGAGTCCTTAATTAAAGATGTTGTTATGGGATTCCTGGAAGACCATAACAAGATTATATCAAATGCAAGGATTATTATTATTATTACTATTAGGCAGTCAACATGGCTTTACAAAAGGGAAGTCATGCTTAACTAATCTTTTAGAGTTTTTTGAAGATGTATCTAGCAGGTTAGATAGGGGGGAACCAGTAGATGTAGTATATTTAGATTTTAAAAAGGCATTTAACAAAGTGCCACACAAAAGGCTATTGCACAAGGTTAAGGCCCATGGGATTAATGGGAACATATTAGCATGGATTGAAGAGTGGCTAATGGGTAGAAAACAGAGAGTAGGGATAAACGGGTCATTCTCGAATTGGCAGGATATGACTAGTGGAGTGCCACAAGGATCAGTGCTTGGCCCTCAGCTATTTACAGTTTACATCAATGATCTAGACGAGGACATTGAATGTAACGTATCTAAAATCGCGGATGACACTAAAGTAGGTGGGAAAGTAAGCTCTGAGGATGATGCAAAAAGATTGCAACGGGATATAGATAGGCTAGGGGAGTGGGCGAGTAGGTGGCAGATGGAATTTAATGTGGGGAAGTGTGAAGTTATTCACCAAGGTAGAAAAAATAGAAAAACAGATTATTTTCTAGAGGGGGAGAGATTAGATAGTGTTAGTGTTCAGAGGGATTTGGGTGTCCTTGTACACCAGTCTCAAAAAGTTAGTTTGCAGGTGCAGCAGCAACTAAGAAGGCGAACGGCATGTTAGCGTTCATTGCAAAAGGTTTAGAGTACAAGAGTAGGGAAGTCTTGCTGCAACTGTATAGGGCCTTGGTGAGACCGCACCTAGAGTATTGTGTGCAGTTTTGGTCTCCTTATTTAAAAAAGGACATACTTGCCCTCGAGGGGGTGCAGCGTAGATTCACTCGGTTAGTTCCTGGGATGAGGGGACTGACCTATGAGGATAGGCTGAATAAACTAGGGCTGTATTCTCTAGAGTACAGAAGAATTAGGGGAGATCTTATTGAAACATATAAGATTCTTAAAGGGCTGATAAAGTAGACACTGAGGGTCTGTTTCCCCTGGTAGGAGAATCTATAACCAGGGGTCACAGTCTTAAAATTAAGGGTCAGCCTTTTAGAACAGAGTTGAGGAAACATTTCTTCACTCAGAGGGTAGTGAATTTATGGAATTCACTACCCCAGAAGGCTGTAGATGCTCAGTCCTTGAACATCTTCAAGGCTGAGACTGATAGATTTTTTAAAAATAGAGAAATTAGGGGATATGGGGATAGGGCAGGTAATTAGAGTTAGGTCAGAAGATCAGCCATGATCTTATTGAATGGCGGGGCAGGCTCGAGGGGCCGAATGGCCTACTCCTGCTCCTAATTCTTATGTTCTTATTGCACAAAACTGCAGCAATTTTGACAGCAAAGATGATCTGATAAGTGGCAACCGCAACCAAACTGAGCAAAGACCCACATTTATTGAGCAAATAGTGAAGGTAGCGATGATGAGCAGTGGTTACATACCTGAAAATGGGTTGTACCCACCCACCACCAGAGGATAAGGAAAAATGCCCGGAAGGAGGTTGTTTGTGAATTTAGTTGCATTCAAACAGTGTGGTACTTTTTCCTCAAAAGTAAAACTGTCAGTGCTTTTTTGCAGAGATAAAATGAGTAACAAGTAACATTCCTAATATTCACAATTCCTTGCAATAATCTAGAATTAAGGGATCGAGTAACATAATCCAGCAACAAAGTGTTACATGCCGATTTCAGACAAGGAGCATTGCACAAATTAAATACAAATAAGGGTTTAATTTCCTTGGTCAGTGCGGCTAGATCATCCTGATGCAAATTATTACTCTTTATAATATCTGGGGTATAGACGTTCCAATGTAATGCGCATATGAATAAGGAAAAAAAACTGGTTCAGGAAGGCGTCATCCTACTTGGCTTGAGCAGACTCTCGATTGGGAGAGAGGAATTGATTTGGCATTACAGACATCAGCACACTGACAGAACAAACCTTTACATAGATGTACACCATCAGACTATAGCACTATTTCTATCATGTCTTCACAGCCATACATTCTAATAGCAAATACTACAAAATAATTTCTGCCTGTTACTGAACTAGTGCCCAAGTCACATTCCTAGTTTAGGTGTATGTGATACTCAGGTCCGCTTCAATGCCTAAGTGGCAAAGCCTGCTAGAACATATAGCACAGGTGTCACGAGGCTTCAACCAAAAAAAAACAGCATTGAATCAACACTTCAAAACTTCTGCAACCACAAATTGTATTTCTTACTCGCTATTGCAAAATTCAATGTTAATGCCAAATAAGTCCCCAACCTAAATCCGTTTTCCAACTGAGAAACCCAGGTAAGCAAAAAAACTTAATGCATGTCAGCAAATCACATAAACCATTAGAGGTGAATTGAAATACTGAAGACTCATAGTCTGGACAGATTTCTCAGGGAAGAGTTGATCAGCAGCTGGACTGGGAGTCTAAATGGGCTGCAGTGACATAGTGAATAATAGTGCAATAATAGTGCAACAGGATATAGGGATTTGATTAAATAGGATTGATTGAATACTCCTGCATTTGTGGTGGCTCATCCCTCTCCTGGAGCTCAGGAATCCTTTCAGGAATCCTAGAGGAATTTTCCAAAATGACTCTCACCCCCGCAGAACAACACAATTACATTTGTATAACGCCTTTCACAAGCAGTGTGGTTAAAGCTTTGGATGGGAAACGGATTTTATTGGCCACTGAACCTTTTTCTACTCTTTCGTTTCCAACTTTGTGTGTATATGTATCTACGGATCAGTCACAAATCATACAGTCAGGCATACAAACATTGCTGGTACATTACAACACAGCTCTAAGGTATTATTTTCTTCGAAGACAGAACAAAATGAGTACCTCAAGTATCGATCATTCACATTATATGCACAATTCGATTAGCAAAACTACTCTCTTGTAAAACATCACAAATGCAAGACAATACAAATTTACATTTAGATAGCATCGTTCACATCAGGAGGACGGTCCCAGGGATCTTAATCATTTCTTGACACCCGAGCTGGAGGTGGGACTCAAGAGGGCGAGGAGGATTGAATACTGCAAAATTTCACAATACCATTCATTTAAATACTTTTTTGTACCAAGTGCACGCGTGCATTGCTCATCAGCGATAAAAATAATTTTAAAAAATCCCCACAGACTTGGCATCTCTTTGGCTCGGTGGCAAACTAACAAAGGCCGATAATGCAATGCCATCGGTTTCAATCCATAACTTTTGAGTCCCATTTCCAGACACCTTCGCGACTCCTCAGCGAGGAACCAGGAGCCATGGCACTGAATGCATTGGTCTGCGAATGCGCTCAAGCCCCCAAAATCCTTAAATGGGGGCAAAGCTTCCGGTAGCAATTTGTCACCTCACTGACCCAAACAAAATGCAGCCCTCCCCCTCCCATCAGGTGCCACTCCCGAGCTCTGAACTGCTGCCCCAACGAAGTCAGGAGAAATGCTGCGACGCGCTGCAGTGAGAGCGCTGTGAGTTGCAGTGACTGACGGCCGTCGGGGGGAATGGAATGGTTTCTCGTTGCAGTTTTACAACTTTCTGCCCCGGGTCGTGAGGAGAGGGTAAAGCCACGGAAACTTCACGCTCACCGTCGCCCCCCCCCACACCCCACCGCAGCTCTGATCGCCGGCGCGCACTGAGGCGGCGTCCGACCCCCGGGACTGGGGGTTCCATTTCCAGAACTCGCCTCCGGTATTCGGGAATAACACGGGGAGTGGGGGAGGAGGGGTGGGGGGGGGAGTGTGTGGGGGGGGAGGGGGGAGTGGGGAGGGAGGAGGAGTGGGGGGGAGTGGGGAGTGGGGGGGGAGTGGGGGAGTGTAAGAGAGACATTTCATTCAAACCTAAAGCGAAAGCGAGGGAAGCGCCAGTGCCAGAAACTTTCGTGCAATGTAACCTTCCGCAGATCATACAGACCGACAGCCGAGGCTGAGGCTGAGGCGGTCAGTGTGTGGCGGTCAGACAGCAAACACCACCCCCTCAGCTGCACCCACTGTCGGGTCCCTCTCCCCCCCCACCCCTGTCCCTCTCCCCCTGTCCCTCTCCCCCTGTCCCTCCCCCCCTGTCCCTCTCCCCCCTGTCCCTCTCCCCCCCCTGTCCCTCTCCCCCCCCCTGTCCCTCTCCCCCCCCCCCCCTGTCCCTCTCCCCCCCCCCCCTGTCCCTCTCCCCCCCCCCCCTGTCCCTCTCCCCCCCCCCCCCTGTCCCTCTCGCCGCTGCTGAGAGACTCCTCTTACCTTGCGCTGCGGCCAAGGACTCGAACCTCCGCAGCTCCCTCAGCAGACCCGCCCTCTCGGTCCAGTGGAGGCTGCACACGAAGTCGCGGGATCCCTGCTCCGTGCTCAGCGGCTCCACCGGCTCCTTGGCCGAGTGCGTCCCGAAGCGCCGCCGGCGACCCGAAAAGGGCAAACCGCCCAGACGGAGGGGAGCGGCGGCGGCTTCCCGTCCGCAGCAGCAGGAGGAGGAGGAGGCGAGGGGCAGAGCGCGGGACAGCCTGGAGAGCAGGAGCAGCGGCAGCGCCATGGCGAGCGGGAGCGGAGCACAGAGACCACCGGCACTAATGGGAGCTCCCGCGCGGGGGGGAGGGGGGAGGGGGCGGGGCCGCGCGGGCGGGGGGCGGGGCCAGGGGGCGGGGCCGCGGACTGACTGACTGACTGGCACGTGACACGCGCGCGGCCGCCAGCGCCAGGTTCGGAATCTGGGCCCGCGTTCCACTGGGGCCGCCGCGAGCGCCTCGGCTCGTCCGACTGCGCCGCTTGTCGGGCAACAGCAACGGCGGCGGCGGCACCGGCAGCCTTTTATAACGCGCCCCCTCCCTTCCCTTCACGCGGGGCAGCCTCTCGGAGGCATCCAGCAATCGGTCAAAGGCAAACCAGGAAACCAATTCAATTTACAATGTTCCCACTTTTTTTTTCCTGCCAACCAGCGCGTGCGCGAACACCACACACACACATCGCTTTTTTTTGCCGTAAATGTGATTATACGCTTTTGTTTTTTGCCGGCCCTGCAAATGTGCTAAAACAGAAAAAAAAAAGAACCTGCGTGAGGGAAGGGGGTGGGTGAGAGGATTTTTTTTGCACGTGTGTGAACACGGGTGGAGGAGCTCGATGTTCCGCAAGGCCGAGCAGAATAAAACCAATCAAACGTGGTTCAAATTAAAAGAGCAAACGAGGGGTGTGATTGTGTGTGTGTGTGTGTGGAGGGTGAAGGAGGAGAGTCTCTGAGCTGCGGGACTGAAGATCTAATGCAAACTCGCACTCAGGGTCAGTTGTCAGATCGGGCGGGTTGTGCTGTTGGGATAAAAGTCGGCTTTGGGCGGGTGTCTTGTCTTAGTGTGTTTCGGTTTCTGATTGAAACCTGCAGAACTGTCCCTGAGGCGCTGCCTGACAGCGAGCGGCCACACACCGACACACACACACACACACGCACACGGCGCCCGTCAGGAGATTGTCCCCGCCCAGCCCCTCCCGGGGCATGCTGGGAGCTGTAGTCTCCGTCAGTCCATCCCTGGCGGAGGGTCCGGGGAACTACACCTCCCGACACGCACCGCGCTCTACAGCTGTGTCGCCCCCCAGTGAACATGATCTGTGGCTCTTATTATTACAGACCGAACCAAAGAGAGCCTTGAGATGGAAAAAATAAGCTGTCAGCCTCCCGTGCCACTTAATTGCAGTCATTGGCAGGGCGTGTCCTCCCAGACGATGATGTTATTATCATGCCCCTGTTTTTCCGCTTTCTCACACAGCACTGCTGTTGTAGAATATGTTTAAAGCGGTCTGTAAAGGCGTACTGATCTGTAAGAGCTCAGGGGGGCTATCCTGCAAGAGGGGGCGCTATATAAATGCAAGTTGTTGTTGTTGTTGTTGTGATAAAGACGAGACTTTAAATAATACCAGAAACTACACATTACTCTTTTTACCATCAGATGAAATAATATTTTAGAACGCACTATTTTGTCTTGTGCTTTCCCACTGGGTTGGTGAAATTTTAAATGATTTTTGTAACTTAAGTCAGGAGCACATCTCAAATCATTTCACATGATTTACTATGGAGTATAATGGCTGTACTTTTGTAGGCGAACATTGGCAGTCGATTTGCACACAGCAATGCCCCACAAACAGCTATGAAGTGAGCGACCAATTTTATTTGGTGGCTTGTCAGCCAGGATTCCCTTCTGAGAGAAAGGACTCCCTTCTGTGAGAGAAACTCCTTTCTCTTTTCAAAAAAGTGTCATGGGATCTTTAAGGTCCACTTGAACAGGCAGACAATCCTCCAAATAAAATTGGTTATTGTATACACTCTGGAACTCCATCCCAAGGTCCCTTTGCCTCGTTTCCTCCCTTGCATCCTTCAAGGCCGGTCTCAAGACTCTTCTCTCCAACTATGCCTTTGGTCTCCCTCCCATCTCTCTGCCTTCCCTCACCCCTACACCACCCCTCCCCCATGCTCGGGCCCCGACATCTGACTGTTCAGCGCTTTGGGATGTCCTCCCGACGTGAAAGGCGCTCTACAAATTTAATTTTGTTGTTGTTCCGCATTCGCCTATAAAATACATAGTTACTACAATTAAGAATAAACTGTCCTTTGAGACAGTTTAAAAAATGTTAAGGATATCAAATGAAAGGATTATTAGTATATGCAAGGCTGGCCTCTTCCCCTCCAGATTAACTCTACCAATACTTTAACTTGTTTACGCTCCACTCCTCTGGTTCTGGCCTTCTACACGTACCTCGACCCCTCCTCTCCATCATCGGTGACTGTGTTTTAAGCCAGTACTCCCCAAACCTACCTCAAACCTATCTTGCTCCCTCCTTGCCTGTCTTTATATTATACCTGAAGACCTTTCTCTTCGACCATGCCGACAGTCACCTCCCCCTGACTCAACTTCAAGCTCTGCCACTGTTAAGCACTCTGAGACACTACCCTGCATGAAGGGTGCTATATAAATGCAAGTTGTTCTTGTTTTTGTACCAGTACATTGCCACGTCGGGGTTCGATGGAAGGAAAAGTGTCCAAAAAACTTTCATATTGGTGATCCATAACCACAACATTTTAGAGTGACACACAAGGTAAGGACTGGGAAACAGCCGTTCCTGTCATTGAGTGTTCCTTTCTTCCTGAGTGAAATCCTTCAATGTAGCTGTGTTAATAATTTGACAGGAAGTGGTAAGATTATAGTGTCTATTCCATTAATCTCAAATATACATATGAGACAAACGGTAAAGTTCAACAATTTGTATTTAAACCATATGACATATAACAACACAATAGTCTGCACCATACAACGACACAGATATACCAACCAAATAATTGAGAAACAACAGCATGCATTCAGGAATTGCTCAGTACTACAATCAAAACGATAAGTCTGAGAACGGACCTCAATATATACAGCAGAGGTCAGCTCCTGGAAATCCCTCAGGAACAACTGATTCAGTAATACAAAACTTAGTAGGGACTGGCACCCGGTAAACCTTCGGACACAAACAATCCTATAAAAACAATACTGAATTACAGAACTATCACACAGAATAGCTCCTGTAAACTCCCCAGAAACAATCAGCTCTCAGCCCAGCACCTCACCCCGTGCTGCCTAACCTGACTTCTGCATTTCAAATGGAACAACCATTATTATTTGTCCGCCTAGCAAACAGAACCAAAAACATATTAACCACTATTCTTCCTCTTTCACTTTTAATAGTCACTTTCTTACTGGAGGTAAATTCCCTCACCTCTGTACATTTACATAGATACAGTAGAATCGATATTGATTCGACTGGGAAGTGCACTAAGCCTCTACACAACTTCAACTATTTTAAAGTTACATCTTTTATGTGTTTCTAACTCCATCTTCCCTTGCACAGAGATAGCCCCCACCCTTTGTAGGCTGCTTTACACAGAGCGATGTGGACAACTTCTGGTCAGCCTCCCACAGCCTGCTTGTTTCTCAGCCTTGAGACAGGCAGGTGTCTGACTGCAGCCTTTTCTTTCTGTGGTCCATTGTTATTGCATTTATGCTCAAGGACCCGATTACTCATTATCTCAGAGAAGATTTCCTGCCCAGGAAAATATGAAATGTAATCAGAAGCTAACCTCAGCCCTTCCAGCAAAGCTACATTTATCCATTCAACTATCAAACCTTCTGGAACATTCGGTTGCTGTTTGAAATATATCATTTCCGATACCAATGCATCTTGAAGTGATGGTCAATATATTTCACTAGCTGTGAAAACAGTACCAGCTTCTGGGAGAAATGAAACTTTGGGCTTTTTTTCTTTTGAAGATGTATCACATTCTCATCCCCTGAGGGACAACTTTCTAATAAGAATAAAATCACAGCTTTTCCCAGGGCAATGTTTTTTGACAAAACTACAATGAAACTGCAAGATGTTGCTTTCCCTTGAAGCTGTGTTTGCATCCCAGAGTCCTATGGACTCAAAATAGCAAATGAGCCAGAAGGATAACTCTTTCCCAGCTTCTCATTTGAATTTCACTTAATTTCATTAAAAATGCAGGCTAGCATATGGTGCATAGAAAGTATACGCCTGCTCTACAGAACAAACACAATCTGCAGCTATGTTGTACTTGCCTAATAATGGTAATTATTAGTGCAGAAATTATTAGTGTGTCAGTACATAGAGAAATGTGACCAATCATGCATGCACTCATCATGTTTCATTTCATTGTTCACCACACCAGTAATTTCTTGTTGTGAAGGAAACTATAGAGCTACGACTTCAGTTATAAATCATTTTAGGAGCAGTCTGTTCCTTTAATGGTTCAGAGTGCATTTATCCATAGTTGTTTTTTTTGTATCATTTATAAAGGGTGTCCTTTCCATTAAGTGATGTTTGGACCGTTTGTTATTATACTGAACCAGGTATGAGTTGCTGAATATTCCATTCAGATAGTCAGTTGCAGAGAAATGAATTGCTATGTGAAGTAAAATGCTAGAATTGCAATCTTTTCATGAACTCACAATCTTTTCTCCCATTTACTTGTGGAAAAGCCAAATGTCTTGAAATAACTTCATCCATGAGGACCAAACATGAAGCAGTATAAGTATATGGCAGCACACAGAGAGGGAGAGTAATGTAATACAGTACCATCTTGCCTGTTTAATGCTTAATTACTTTTATAATAAATAATGAACCTTGAATTTTATTATACATCATTTCACATCAAGAGGAGAGCATCTGGGCAATAGTGATCATAACATCATTAGATTCAGAGTACTTATGGAAAGAGACCATCTATGGTGAAGATATTCAACTGGAAGAGGGCAAATTTCAGTGAGTTAAAAAGCGTCCTAGCCAAGGTGGACTGGAAAGAAAGATTGGTAGGTAAAACAACTAAAGAGCAGTGGGAAATCTTCAAGGATGAGATAGCTCGGGGACAGAATAAATACATTCCCACAAAAGGGAAAAGTAGGGCTTCCAAATCTCCCTGGATGACGAAGGTAATTGTATCTAGAATGAAGCAGAAAAAGGAAGCATATGACAAATGTCAAACCCAAGATACAG